CACTCCAAATAGGTGTTTTTTCTTCTGTTCTTTTTTCCCCACACCCTCTTCTTCAGTGTAACAGATCTATTTAAACATATTTTTAAAAGAAAAGCATATTCCTCACTCCTGAGCTGTTCAAGCTATTAATGTTCACCTGCATTTCACAAGGTGACTGGTACCACTGATCATTAAAGAGCTTTGTGGTGCTTTTCCCAGCCCTTCTGGTGTTGGCTGGCAGGAGGATAACTTGGCTTTCAGAGAGGCTGCCCAGAGCAATGGGAAGCTGGGGGGGTCAAGGGTCTCGGGGGTAAGATCTGGTGTTACTCTGCTACCCCTCTAACTGCCTCAAGATACATTTTGGGGTTTCCCCTGTTTTTATTTGTTACTAAACTAAGCATTGTAAGCTCAAAATTTTTGCCTGCTACTCTTTTTCTGCTTTATAGAGCTGTTCCCAGCAGAAGGACAGGTCATGGATTACTTATATGACTTCAGTACATGGTTTAAATTATATAGCGTGTGGTATAAATTTTAACGTTACAACTCTGCTGGTTTTTGTAAAATCAGAGGTTTCAGGAGGTTCTGAGTTTGTGCTATAAAATAAGCAGATGAACAGAGAGCTTCGACCAGTTTATGTCCAATGAATGGTAGAGAGTCAGAACTGATAGAGAGGGGTTTTAGCTCCTTACGACATGCTGAGCTTAGTACTGCTGTAACGCAGGGCCTTTCTTTTGGAAGAAACAGCGTGCCTTGCCCAGTCAAGTCTATTCCTACACGCAGTGGCTTGGTGCCCATACAAGCATGATCAGCCTGGCTGCGGCTGCCATCTATCCTCTGTCACGCTCCTGCGCGGCTCCGTCGCTGGAACTTCCCTCTTTGGGGCATTTAATAGCATTATCCTGCGAAGGTGCTTATCTCCCTGGCCTGCCTCCTACCCTCTTGACTCCGAGGGTATGGCTGGGGGAACAGCACTTTGAAGCAAGAGGACAGCGGGTTGTGCTACTGAGGGGTGTTAACGCTGGTGTCAATAGAGTCTGTGACTGATCAACCTTGTTGTTCGCTGAGGAATGAATCATTTCTCAGGTCCCGCATTAGCTGCGGGAGCTGCACGTAAATGCAACCTGTCGAGGGTAATGATTTCGACTATGACTTCACTTGAAGAACATCTCTGGTTTATGACTGCAGAATGAGGTCACTTGAGCAATGCAAATGCTTGTTTTATTCATTGCGTTAACGTCAAGCCAGTCGTTCCACTCGGAATGGAGTGTGCACCGGGTGTCGGAGTCACCCGAAGGATACGATAAACAAAGAGATTTTGCTTCTTCATGTCATGTTCATCCCATATTGACCCTATGGTGAGAGCTCTGTTAGCACAGGAAGCTGCTTAATGACATCTCTGTGTTTATTTTCCCTCGCGCTTAGCACGATGGTTACCTGTTTATTTCTGCTGAAGGGGATTACTGGTGTTTTTCAATTACAAATGATGCACGCAAGCATTATTTATCCTGTTTACTGCAGACCTGTGGAGTGTTAGTCAGTCTTGATCAGAAGCATCTTGTTGAGGAAACAACATTTGTAGTAGTGGTACTGTGGGTATTTTAGGGCAGTTCCAGGATGGTTTTCCATCTGTCCATTAATCCTGGCTGTGCAGCACACTGGTGGCCAGCAGCATAGCAGGTTTGTGTTTGGCGTGATATTCCCGTGCTTGAGAAGTTGTCATTCGTGATGTTTCTTCTGTGGCAGCCTCTTGGAGGAGGAGGGGGAAATCGTGGCTCTTCTCCCAGAGGAAAAGCAAAGCTTTGCTCAGCTCTGGCAGGCATGTTGCGCGAGACCCGAGTGCTGAGACCCCGCTGCAGGTGTATGGTCCTTCTCGAACTCGGCGGCCAAGGCACCCTGAGAAATGTGGCGTGTAAAGTCGACCTGAAGAATTCATTGCTGATTTCCTTCAAGATAGATTCATAAGATAATAAAAGATACACTGTTGTAATACAGATTATATAACAGAGAATGATAAAACCAGTTTGTAAAAGGATATAAGCTCAAGCTTCATGACATGGAATCATAAAGGAGGTCAGAAGGACACTTCTTATTCTAGAGATTTTTGTCCTTTTTTTTTTTCCTGCTTCTTTTTTTTTTTTTTTGTCCTTCCTTTCTTTTAAGTATCAGCTGTTGTCAGAGACATGGTTCTTGGATGGGTGAGTCTCTGATCTCAACCAGCATGATAGCTCCAGGCCAGTTAAACCACAGACGTACAGCAATGGGAATAGAACTTGACATTTTGGGTTTCAGAAACCTCCTTTTCCCATTGTACAGGCAGAAAAAGGATACAGAGAAGTGCAAAAAAACTAGAGAGGAAATTCAAGGTGGGTTTTGGGTTTTTTAATATCTTGAAGAAAAAGAAGATGTAAGAAAAGTTTGGGTCTGAAACCTTAACCATTCCACAAAAGGCCAAAACTTCTGGGTGCTTTTCTAATGGTCTTGCCAAGATCCTGGAACAGTTTTAGTGAGGTGTGGGAGAACAGTGTGTGAGCATAAGGAAAAAAAAGGGGAAAAGCATCTGGACGGAAAATAAGACTGTATCCCATACGGGTCTGAACTGACATCTCTGTAAGTGGTACTTGTTTGCATGGAATTTTTAAAGAAACATGAGATCCCACTCCCCGTACCCTTGGAGAAAACACGATTGCAGATGCATGAAGCATTTGCATTCCAGCCCCCAAAGAAATAACATGACTCTTGATTTCGTGCTGTTGAACAACACAGCACATTTGCAGAATATGCCATCGAGAAGACTGCATAGCTGGATCTGTACAGGCATACCACCTCAGCAGATTAAAGGGGTGCTGCCAAGGCTGAGGTTAGGAATTGATCTACTTTGACAGAAAATCCCAAAAGGAAGAGTTTTAACCTTCAAGATTCTTTCCATCTATTTGCTTTCTTCAAACTGATTGCAGCTGTCACTAGAAATAAAAACAAAGCAAACAAAATAAAACACTTTACAACTTATGGTTAGGCAGCAATAAATAAAACATTGTTCAAGTCCAGGGCAAGTTTTTCTTATCGTCTGGGATGAAATTGCTGATAGTTTTTTAATGACTTTTTATATTTTTAGTGGTAGCCATGGCTGGGAGAAACCAGAATAAATGGAAAAGCTGCAGGAACGTGTCTAGCAACAGCTTTGCATTTTTACTGTTTACTGTTGATTTGCCAGAAGCCAGACAGAACCTACAAAGTGGGTCATTGGGTTCAGTGTGCTGTGATTATTATTTATACAGAATCCAAAGTGTACAGAGCACCCCTTTGGGCATATAAAAGTTCATGCTTCAAAGAGTTTACAGCCTTCAGGGCTAATAATATTATTGCCAGTAACATCTAAGCTGTATATATTTCAAAGCTGCTGTTGCTACTTTCATAATTTTACTGCATACCTCACCCTACCTGACTGATGCAAGTTCTGGAGTACGGTAGTGAGAAAAGGATCTTCAATTTCCATGGAAAACACCAAACCAATCCATTTTGTCTCCAGGCCAGAGCACAGAAACGTGTCCTGAACACTGCAGAGCG